GTGGTAGCAACATGCTATGTGTTTACATCCATTGCCGCCATGTTTGTAACGACTTATCATGAGAACAAACGTATTCACGCGTGACTTTAATAACATTTCTTACTTAATGGAAACACCGCAGTTGCAAAGCTGTGTTTTTTTTACATTAACAGAATATCGACAAAGTTCTGCGTTAAACATAGCCTGTACTAGCTGAATAGATAGAGTAATTACAACTTGCCCAATAGCAAGGCATTCACAAAAAAATCGCTCCATTGTCCTGAGATGATTAGCCTCTGCTAGTTAGCATGTTTCACTTCCTGTTTACTACCGCAGAGCTTGTTGCCGACATCTGACGTAATCACGTGTTGCGTAGCCTCGTTTATTCGCATCAAACAGTCGAGAGGAAAACTWGAAGGAAACTAGGTCTAGATTCTAATTTTTATTTATTTAATTTTTTGCGAATTTTGAAAAGTTAGATTAAAATTCACTCTACAACTGGATGGAAACACGATTACTTTTATTCTTTCTGAAGATTTTGTTATTCATCAAATGATTTGATCCATTTTTCCCACATTTCATAATTATTACGTATTTGTGTCCTTTTTTGTTTTTTTTACGTTGTTTGGGCATATTTCCCTCTGAAGTTGCCTTTATAGTTTTGAAAATGTGTTTTTTTAAATTATTTGTTAAAAATAATTCTTTAATAACATAAAATGGTGCAAAACCAAGCAGAAAGTTTCACTTCCTCCTCCACCTTGGAGTCCCTGCAGTTCATAAAAAATCACATTTCCTCTTTACGATTTCCTCTGTGGTTTTTATGCGACCACTGAACCAGTGGAGCTTATCCGATAGATTTTAAAAAGTATCAAATACGTGACTCTTTTTTGTAATGTTTGTCACAGCGACAGTCCACCTCACGTCCCTCCAGATGAACTCTCTACAGATTTGGTGATCCAGGTGATCAGTAACATGACCCAAACCATCAGGCAGCACTTCCCCAACCTGACCGTCTACCCTGCGTTGGGAAATCATGACTACTGGCCTCAGGTAGCTAACTGGAAGSTTTGACTAAAAGGATGGATGTTACACTCACCACCTGATTTATTAGGTCCACCTGTTTAATCAGCCAATCACACAGCAGCATCTTTAATATAATAAAGTTTGTAATTACAGTATAATTCTTTGTTTTAGGACCAGATGCCAGCCTCCACTAACGCCATCTACAAAGCTGCAGCTGCTCTCTGGAAACCCTGGCTGGATGCTGATGCCCTGCTCACCCTGTCACAAGGTAACTAACGAGTTCCACCTGGACAGGTGAGGTTTAAAGGAGACCAATTATAGGTCCTAGAAATGTTTATGGTATGTCTGTGGGCTATCCAGACCATGTTCATTCAATTTAATGCACAAAATAATTCTCAGATAATAATATTTCCCATTTTCTAGTTCTGCCTGCTCTGACTTCTGTTCAGAAGAGCTGTTTATGTTAATGAGCGCTGTTG